CCTGCCATACTTCAACACAATATAAACATCAAAAATCATATATATTTAATTATACTAGTCATAGCAGTCGCTTTATTGTGAAAAAGTTTAAGTAAGCTTAATTCTTTGGCAGACAAACACGTTCAGAACTTCACTGAGAAGTCATGCATTTACCGCTTCCGTGCGTATAAGCCGATATTCAATTTCAATTCAATTCAATTTTATTTGTATAGCGCCAATTCATAACAGAAGTTATTCAGACACTTTTCAAATAGGAGGCAGTCTAGACCAACTCCTTTTAACATTTACAGAGACCCAACAGTTACCACCATGAGCAAGGCACTTGGCGACGGGGGCAAGGAAAAAACTGTTTTTAAACAGGCAGAACCTAGGACAGACCCTTCGGCTCTAGGTGGGTGGTCCATCGCCTTGGACCCAGTTTGGGGGAAGTTGAGGAGAGAGAGGGAGAGAGGAGAAAGAGAAGAGGGGGAAGAAAGAGAGAGTAAAGACAGAAGGGACAGGAAGAAAGGTGCACAGGCAACAACAGTAGCAACAACTACACTTAATAGTAGGTTGACTGATCGGTGATGATGATGATGATGATGAACATGAAAGAAAATCATTCAATTTTATTTGTATAGCGCCAATTCATAACAGAATGTATCTCCAGGACACTTTTCAATTAGAGCAGGTCTAGACGACCATGATGACAACAACAGGCCACATCGATCGGGGACAATTGAGCAATTGATAATAACTTAGTAATACTAACTGTTGTATTAATTATAATAATAATAATGATAACAATAATATCATTAATATTAGTAATGGCGTCCAAGCAGGCCTCCACCAGGATCCATGAGAAACCTGCCGAGATGAGAAAAGGCACAAGAACTCCGGGAAAGAAGTGAAGTTAGTTAACATCATTAATGGGCATGAATGGAGTGCCAGAAAGATGGAGAGGATGGAGGAACTCAGTTGCATCATGGAGATCCCCCGATAGTTCTAGGCCTATAGGCAGCATTAACTAAGGGATGGTTCAGGACTCACCTGATCCAGCCCTAACAAATATGCGCACACGATTAACATAAAGTAGGCATTTTGTGGGATAAATAGGATCTTCTGATGAATTCAGAATACAGTTAGCCACCACTCATACAGCTTCTTTCACGGTTTATTTAGTTCAAAATGTCTAGCAACCACCGGTTCAACTCTGTAAGCACACATTAATTCAAACAAAAGGCTATGTGTACGAATTTTAAAAACTGCTAAATACAATAACGTCTTACCAGAAACTTGCTGTATTTTGCCGACAAATACGAAAACATTAAATTGTAGGGTTTTTTAACGGAGTTTAACCGTATTTTGTTCTCCGTGGTCATCGCATGAAAGGACGGACACAAACAAAGCCTACTCCGCCCTGGCAGCCAATAAAAACACACTATTGCACGCCTGACCAATCAAAATAGAAAGCAGCGACAGCATGGTTTCAATACCAACAAATCGTAAGAGGCGGAAATGTGACGTAGCGCGGTCAGCTGTTCTTGTTTTGCTTCTTTTTCCCCCTTTCTTTTCCTCCAGGGTCTGGGTAACCGACCTCTGCAACAACCCGACTCAAACACAATTTGAGTCCACCTCCAGCAGAGAAACCCGCCGGCTCTGCCTCGCGCGCTCACCGACGCACCCGCCGGTCCACATTTCTCCCAAATTGGAGCCGTCTTCCGCCGACATCGAGCGAAGAGGTGCAGCCGATCCCAGGCCTCCAATCCAGGGCGGAGGGAGGGAAGGAGGTCGCTGGGAATCGGGATGGAGAGCGGAGAGGCTGCTGGCGGGCCTGGCGGACCGGACGGACCCGGACTCCGGTTTGGCTGCGCCTCTTTCAACCAAGACTCCACGTAAGCAAGCGGGCAGATAACGAGCGGGATGAGAGAAAAGACTCATCCTGCTTGACTTCTCCCTGAAATTGGACAAATGCATACATCAAAATATGCATTTATTCAGCTCCACCAGTCAACATGTCAGAATCAGTATGGGGGGTACATATGTACATGTTTTTTTTAGACCTTATATTTTCTGTATCTCTGGAGAAGCTTAAATAACTCGTTCGTTGATGATGTCATAGTGATGTCACCAGGGTTATCTTGGCTTAGGCTCGGAGGCTACAAACTTTTAAAGCTGCAGTAGGTAATTTTTTATAAAAATAACTTTTTGTCATATTGGCTGAAACTTTCACTATATCCTGACAGTAGTACATGAGACAGATAATCTGTGCTCATGGTGGTACTGTTGGGTCTCTGTAAATGTTATAAGGAGTTCGGTCTAGACCTGCTCTATTTGAATAGTGTCCTAAGATAACTTCTGTTATGAATTGGCGCTATACAAATAAAATTGAATTGAATTGAAAAAATCAGGTTCCTCTGAATCCTCCTAGTGCTCCTAACGGCATCTGCAAGAATCCACCGGGCCTCAATAAAAAAAACAATCAGAGCCCAGAAAAATAAAGTTGATTGGTGAGTCTCATTCCTAGCATTGAATGAGACTCAACAATCCTAACAAAAGAAGCTGTGGAAGTTGCATTATGGGAAATTAAAAAACCTAGCGTTTCTGGAGCTTGGCCATAGATGTATAACCAGATAGGGCGGCACCACTCAAGCTTTTTGCCAGTTGTGCCCACCTATGGTATTGCAGTGAAACATTCTCACTAGTTATGAGCAGAACCATTTTAATCAACATATGCACAGCCACCTGCAGAATATGACATGCCCACTTCAGTTTGCAATTTAGGTCAAGGAAAACCTGCTATTTTTTTGGTTCCAGCTGGTCAAGTTCCTAACCAGTTTATTTTTGGTCAAAATTCTATGAACGATTCAAAACTAGGTCCACAAACTGGAATGGAACTGGTTCCTGGTTGGCGGAAAAGGCTAGCCAGTGTATAATCTAATTATATAGTTTTGATCCATGGAGGTTTTATATTTGTAAAACACCTCTCTAGCCGAAAAAACACAATTTAAAGTCTATGGGCTGAATACCCCAAACTTTTTTACTCTTTACTAGGTCCTCTCCCAAGTCCCCTATTTTTATGGAATTAGGTTAGGGTTACTGGAGTAACAGTTAAATTAATTAACTGATTGATTTGGATCTCTTTTAGCTCATTGCCTAATCTTTCAAGAGTCCACAAGACCGGAATAGGCCTTTAAATCATAGCCCATGGGCGGCTGTGGTGCAGAGGCAGAGCGGGTCGTCCCCTAATCGGAAGGTTGTTGGTTTAATCCCCGGCTCCTGGTGCCACATGTCGAATGATCCTTCCTTCTATAATGATCCTATCCTTGAGCAAGATACCGAACCCCGAATTGTGTGATGAATGAGTTCGATGGGCATTGCCATCGCTGTGTGAATGTGTTAAAGGGTGAATGTGGCATGTAGT